CCCTGCTGGCCCCCACTCACACCTCTTCCAGCAGCAACCTTAGTTTTTCCCAGGAGGTCTCCCATCCAGGTACTGACCAGGCTCACACCTGCTTAGCTTCGGTGGGTTGCCAGTTGTGAGTTGCAGGGTGATATGGCTGCTTAACCATCATTATCTTAATTATTTTTTAATTCTCTAGTTTCTTTTAGATTGTGCACTATATTCCAATGTGGACATATTACAGGATCAGCACCAGATTACATTCAAGAGTTTTACTGTTTTGTTCTGAATACTAATGCAGTTATACAAGTATGACTATGGGATTTCTTTGAGAATGGTACAGTGCAATGTATTCTATTATTTCATACAAATCCGTTCCAATGGAAGCAGCTGACTCAGTGTAAAGACAGAGATTCACAGTCAATTGCTTTTCATTGAAATATGAAACTGGTTGCTATCAGGTCGTTAATGAAAGTGGTTGGCTGTTGTGAATTACTCTGACTGACTGTTAATTAGCACAGTGGAGTGCCATAACAGAAAATCCATTTCTGTGTTACTGAGGACTTTAATTTCCAGGAGTTATGTGAGGTGATGCGACTGTTGGCAGACTTCCTAAAGCAGATATCTATCCTTAAAATGAAGAGCAAAGCACAAAGAAACCATTAGATCATCTGTTGTACAAGTGGTACTAGTATGCAGATTGCTGCCTTGTCTCTTTAGGTGTGGTTATTCATTTTTACTCTTCAAAACATCAGAAGCTCCACTCCAAAATCTGCAGCCAAGGAGTTTAATCAAGAAAGTTGTGTTTAAATATTAGCTCTCTTCAGTGATGTCATGCTGGGTGAGACAAATATAGATGCTGTTGTTTCTCCAAATGCCACCTGTCCAGTGAAGTCTGGAACAGGAAGATTTCAAGAGTATAAATAAAAGCTGCTTAACATTATGCTAATTGGACATTTTTGGCAGTCCTTTATTTGTGCAGGAGAGCTGTTTAAATATATTAACTATCAAAAACATTCCTAATTTATTAGACTTGGATGTGGTATTTGAATACAAAAAGATACATCTACTGTATGTTAACTTTCACAATGGTCTCGCATTGTTTTCCGAGATGTAGTGTTGAGAAGGTGTAATTATTTCTGTATTTTTACTTACAGATTTTGCTTTTTTTATACCACGTTTATCCTAACGCGCTGCACCATGATTTCACTTCAGTTTGCTTCTCTGATGACATACCATAGGAAATATATGGATGAAAATGAAATTGGAAAACCTTTTCTATTAATCTGGGCATTTCAGAAAATGCCATTTATAACTCGGCAATGATGCTGATTTGCAGTTTCTTGTACTATGTAAATCAAGTGTTTTTTTTCTTTTTGTTCACAATCAAGTCCCGTTTAGTTTTGTGTTAACACAGACTGGCAGATTCAATCATTTGTGATTTTTACTTATAAAGCTGGATTGTATTCATGCTTTAAGTTGCATTTATCTTCGTTGTTCCTTAACAATTTTAAAGAGGAAGCATTAAGTACGCTACTTCTTTTTTAAGTATTAAGTGTTTTAATGTACTTCATGCAACATATACTTCCTATGAGGAGGAGGAAGATTGTGTCAATTAGTGTCACTTACAGTGCAGACAGTGATGCATATAACCAATTACGTTTTGTGTTAAAAAAAGTACAATTAATGGCTTTTACTCTACACAGTTCTGTTCTAACCGAATCAGATAGTTATCCTTGTGACTAGAAGTCACATGTTCTGAACCGCAGCAGACTATATTTATTCCAATGTACACAAAGGATTAAGAGGATTTTACTACAGAGCAAAAGAAGAGGAGAGTGGTTTTAAGGCTGGCTTAATAGGCATGCCAGTCAAGGATATGAAAGTATCCTGTTTTATATCTCATTTTTTTGTTTTAATCTCATTTTCCTAGAACATTTACTGAATGAAAATTTTGTTTAGAATGTTTTTCCTGTCAAATGCGTACAACCTTTGCAATATTTTTAAAACTAAGGTAATTTTAAAAATGGTGTCTTTTTGTCTTAGCAGGAAAATACACATTAAAACTATCTGGAAATCGATAATATACAGATTACTTTGCAAAATCGCCTTTTGGTTTCAATAGCAATATATATAGTATGACTATGTTTAATGGATAAACCTCTTATAAAAAGCAAGGATCACAACATTAGAGCTTTGAGTGGAGTGTCCAGAAAAGAGCTATAGAAGTGTAAGAAATTATTATTATTATTATTATTCCAATTTTGTGATAGCTTTGATATTTATGTCTAAATGGCAATAATTAGCAGAGATTCTCTTCCTCTGTAATTGCACAATATTACACAGGCTGCCTAGTAATAACTCGGCTTGTCTCTGCTTATTAACTGTGCTGGTAGTAACCATGGCTTCACAGCCATGGCACTTGTGCCTGAATGCCGACAGTCCTTCGTGTGCCAGTGTTATGAGAGACACCTCTTCAGTGATGAATTAAAAACCTGCAGCACTAAGAGAGAACGTCCCCCAGTAGTCCTGGAACATGGGACATGCTGGGCATGTGAAATGCTGTTATGGACACAGTGCCTAAGTTCTTCAGCACTTTCCTAAATCAACTACTGTGAAAGAAGAGGCTTTCTGGCCTTGTTATCATTGTGCCTCAAATCGGACGGAAAGCCACAAATCCTCCTAGCAAGGGTCTTGGGGAAACAATCACGTTTTTAAAGGATTGTAAATTGTGGAAAATGCGCTGATCTGTTTTTTTTTTATTTTATTGAAGGATTACCTAAAGCCTCTCTTTCTATAGACTTCATGGGCACAGTGTCTTCCTATATGTTCCTTCAAATTCTTAATCCAGATACCTAATAAAATAATCTATTTTGACTTTTTGATATATAAAGTAGATATATATACTGTACATTTAATAACAAAATGTACTAGTAACATGATTTAAAATAAAATATATTAATTTAACAATCAGATTTTGTGAATTACAGACATTAATGAACATAAATGACTTGTAATGAATTAAAATGTTTTTTTTTCCAAATCTTAATTTTGCACTGTGGCAACACTGTAGTAATGAAAGAATTAAGCATCTGTGTGATATTTATGAATACAAAGCAAAGATGAAATGCAAAAACAGAACATGCTTCTGCCTCATTATGAACCAATCGGTAAAGAGTGTAGACTAGAACATAGCCTTACAGATGCTGTAACCAAACAAACATTCTAACAGGATATGACATGAAAAGTGAACAATTAAGGGAAAAGCACAAAGTGTCATTAAAGTTAATAATACTGTATCTTTCCACGGCTACCACAAAAGGCCTTACTTGGCGGGAGAGATGCTTTTGGTGGTATAAAAGGTGAACGGTGATATAAAGATTTTGTAACCTTGGAAGAGGGGCTTTCAGAAATGAAAGTGTAGTTCACATCCACGAATCGGAGCAGGGAATGGATCAAAATGGCAGCTTTCAATATGACAGCCACATTATGACTATTATTACAGAGCTATTATTTCTGCAATGTCCAGGTTTTTTTTTCTGTGTCTGCTTTTTAATCTGCTTTGCTAAATGCTTCTGCTTTGGCCCGTAACAACCTCCAAAAGATGTGACTGCTTTTTGCTCTCCCTGGGCTGATGTTACTCTGATGCAGGAATGGATTACTGTGCTACAGTTGCCAATGGCTGTGAGCATTTGTGCTTGAACACGGACAGCTCCTATATCTGCCAGTGCTTTGAGGGCTACACTCTTAATGATGATGGGAAAACTTGCAGAAGTAAGTCACTGTCTTTCACAGACATCATCCATTGAAATGAGTCGTTTTTGAACACTTCAGGTAGTTTTAGAATTAAACATTATTTCCAATGAATTTTTGTACTACTTTTTGTTCACAGTTCTTTGGAAGCTTATTTACAGGTGCATATCCTGTGTATGACTTTAGAATTAAGAAGAGACTGGAATTTGTCTTCCTACTTGCAGATGATCAGAGTGACTTTGCATTTACAGCATTTTGCAGTTACAGAATTTAACAAAGCAACCATAGATAAAGAATAACAGATAAGAAACTATAATGAATGGTCTAAAGAAGCAAAAAATGAAAATGTTTTTAGTAAATGTACTGAGGGCAATTAAAAGTGCAACAAGTGCTACGCTATTGGTCCCTACACTTGTTTGATGCCGCTGTGCAAAGCTAAGAATACAGCTGGAACATCAAAAAGCCAAATCAAACTTCCAACAAAAGAAGCTGTACATGAAGACATCACATCATTTCACATCAATAACAAGGATCGCAGTAATGTACTGCAGTTGAGTTGAGAATAACAAGGTACTCCAAGTGTGCTGTCTTACTGATAATCTGCATAGGGTAAAAAAGATGTTTGAACTGATGCATGTTTGGGAGTTTTTAGAAACCAGAAATGGCTGTTGCTGACTTGTTTCTTCCAGTCAGGGATGTCTGTCAGACAATTGCCCACGGCTGCGAGCACATTTGTGTCAGCACAGAGGACTCCTACACCTGCAAGTGTTTTGAGGGATACACCCTGGCTGAGGACAGAAAGAGCTGCAGACGTGAGTACCGCCCAGCTCACTTGCCGGTTTGGGACTTGTCCCAGTTTTGCTTCCTGCACAACTGTGCTTTTCACTGCTGTCCTTCTACAGCCAGAGGTGTTTCTAAAACACTTGGCATCCTGAGCTTTCTATGACATTGTAGAATATTGCAAAGTACGCATGTTCGTTTTGTGTTTTTTTTTTAAATCCTGCACATGGCTGTAGCCAGGAAGAGCAGAGCATGTTCAGGTAAGAGATTACAAGCCTTGTATAAGTATCCTTAAGCAGACTGGTGCTTTATGTTTTTAGAACTGTGTTTTTTTATTACGCAGTTTGTCAGATGTTACAATCTGTCCTTTATCTCACTTGGCAGATGCTCTTGCCATTTGTCCTTTGCAAGGGTGTTCCATTTTCCTAAAAACATCCCTAGTGCCTTTGATGGTGGCACATATTGCCCTTTGAAGTAAAGTCACAAAGTCACATCTCATAGGTGATTCAGAGCTCAGTGGCCGTCTGGCGAGGACAGATGTGGGCGGACGATCTGTAAGTGCTGAAGTGGTGAACCGTGAGACGGAGACACCCTTCGTGTCAACCAGCCTCTTCTTCCCATCCGCCTCAGGGTGTGCCGAGGGCGTGATCGACCTGGTGTTCGTGATCGATGGCTCCAAGAGCCTGGGCCCCACGAACTTCGAACTGGTGAAGCAGTTCGTCGCCGGGATCGTGGGCTCCCTGGACGTCTCCCCAGCGGCGGCCCGAGTGGGGCTGCTGCAGTACTCCACCAAGGTGCGCACGGAGTTCACCCTGGGCCAGCACCGCTCCGGCCAGGAGGTGAAGGAGGCCGTGTCCCGGGTCAGCTACATGGGCCGGGGCTCCATGACGGGCAGCGCCCTGCGCCACATGTTTGAGAACAGCTTCTCCACCCGAGAGGGGGCGCGGCCGGCGTCGGCACAGGTGCCCAAAGTCAGCATCGTCTTCACAGACGGGCGCTCACAGGATGACGTCTCGGAATGGGCGGCCAAAGCACAGGAAGCTGGTAACGTCTGGTCGGCATGAGCTTTTCAACAGCTTTACTACAGATAGCATAACGTCTGCAGAATTATTCATGTTTTCTAACAAAACTTTGCTGGGTTCGGACTACTTGCAGGATTACAATGACTTTCCAATAGCTAGCGCTGTGGCCTCATAGCTCCTGTGCGTCTAAGCCATCAAGGTTACAAGGCCAGAGAGGGCCCTTACCACGGCCCTACACTCCCTCAGCATGTACACCAACGACAGGAGGCGCTTCTTTACCCAGGGGGCTGTGGGAGTGTGGGACCAGCTGCCCAGCTGTGTGGCTGAAGCCGATTATCCCTGGCTTCTTGCAAGAAAAAGCTGGATGAGATCCTTCCATCAGAACAGGGGACACATTGTGCAAAGGGTTGTGGCAGTATGGACAAGTGACCCCGCCATGTTGTTGTTGCCAATACCAGTTCATGAAACGGCTGGCCAGGATCCCAGCATTGTTGAGCTCCTGACTACCAAATGGGCCAGATGGTCTGAATCCTCCTCTCCTTTGTAACCTTCATGTTCTCGGGTCGGTCTCCCATGCGCTTGCCTGTCCCCTTTAATTTCACCAGGCATCACCATGTACGCAGTAGGAGTTGGCAAGGCCATAGAAGAGGAGCTGAGAGAAATCGCATCGGAGCCGAAGGAGAAGCACCTGTATTATGCGGAAGATTTTGGCCACATGGGTGAAATTGCTGAAAAGCTGAAAGCAAGGATTTGTGAAGGTACCCGTGCATTAAGATGTTAAATGTTAGGTAGCAGGGTGTCTGAAGAACATCAAAGCTAGTGTGTGTCTGAAGTGCTGTTATGCCAAATGAGGCAGAACATAAAGAATTTGTGTGGTGTTTTGAGCTATTGCCCTGACTATGATCTTTCAAACTGAATTCCTTCCACCACTGGTCATTTTAATGTATTAGCTCACACAGGACAAATCTAATTATTTTTTATTAAGAATTATGGAAAGTAATGAAATCATGACTCATCTTGCTCTAGAACTACTGCAACTAAAGAACACAAAACTAAATATTTTAACCATTACAATTTTTAAAACTATTTTGCAACAGTTTGTCTTCCATATTCCTTTCCATGTTTTTATTTGGTTTCTTAATGTTGATTTTGTTTTTTTTATTTAACCTGGTAAGTCAATGGTGATCAGATTCTCATTTACAATGACAGCCTTGAGCATTTTACATAAAGCACTTCTCTAAAACACTGTAATAATGCTGTTTTAAAAATCAACACAAATGTTCAGAGGATGCTGAATGGATTATCATCCTGCAGTTTTAAGTTCTGGGGAAAAAAATGCAGTTACTGACAGCTGTTTTTTCAGATAAAAAAACAAGGTCTGTACATTTGTATCTTTGAGTACTTTTCCATTTGAGATCTCCCGCTTGAAGTTAACGTAATTCTTCTCAAATTCCCAGATTGCTACATACTCTATTTTGCTGCTGAAAACCAGCTTAGCACATGATTTATAGGTGTTCCTGGGGTTCTCAAGAAATGCAGCTCCATTATCTAACAAAATGTTTGTTTCCCCAGTGTCAATCACCCCCGTGTTCCCATCTGTAGTCCCCTTCTGCCCTCTGCTGGTAAAATATCAAGGCTGAGGGAAAATTGTCCATTTCAGTTACAAACCAATCTTGCAATATTCTGCTGTAATACTAAGCACTGTTTCTCTGGTTGGCCTAAACATATTTCATTTAAACCTCATTTCTGTTCTCAACTGAATGATACTGACAGCTATAAAAATATATTTATTCGTAATATTTTCAGTAAGGCATACAGGCATCATGGAAGACCCTGAAATTGTGACGGAAATTTTATCCGTTTTAAATCCCATCTCAGGCATCCATCTCTGGGGTTTTCACCCCATAAGATGTGACATAAGTTTCCTCCTATCGGCAGAAGACAATCTGGTCGGGCCTGACCAGTCCTGTCTTCTAAAAGTGTCCCATTCTACAGTCCTGGGACAGACTGGCATCTCCTCTTGGAGGGCGAGAGCACACCTGCACTGTCGCGTCTTGTGTATCTACTTGCAGCCAGTGTAAACTGAGTTTTGTAATGTTTGTAGGGTGGTTTTATTTTGTCTGAAGCGTGCTGTGGATGTAAAAAATACAGTAAAACCAGAATGAGTTCTCTTGCAGGAGTTGGAGAGAGAGAGACTTTGAATGGGGATCCATGCTACATACACCATTGTAAACTGCTTTCTTGATCGAGCAGTCCTAAAATATTACTGGTAGCCAGCATTGTATGGGATTTAATCCCGACACTATGATAAACTGCTTTCTGGAAGCACAGCTTTGCAGTGACAGAGGATCCCCTCTAGTGTAACCTGTATGCTAATTTCTTACTGTTCCTTGGATAACTGCATCTAAAATGAAGCACCCAATTAAAAATGTTAATGATATTAAGATTCACACCAGCAAACTTCAGGATGATTTATAGCATTGAGAAACTATTGCTTTGCCTTCTCTTTTCAATGGGTTGCTTTCAGCACCTCTCAATGTTTTATTTTTGACAGAAAAGCCTTCTGGGGAGGATCAGTGTAAGTGTGACAACTTAATAGCCTTCCAGAACCAGGCCCGTGAGCAAATGCGGAAGCTGATGCAGAGACATATCCTTTAACAGGCAAACAGAGGAATAGGTATCGATTTATTCCTGTTCACCGTATCCCACAAGTATGTATACTGAGGACTCAGATCTCTAAAGATATTTGCTTAAATTTCAGAAATACACAAGGCCGAGCAGATACTCAATGTGCCTGCAGGCGCCCACATAGAAAACACTTTGCTGACCTGTTCCCATGCAATAGTGCAGACTGACAGACCACAGGTTACCAAGTTTTAGTGCATGAAGCAACAGACTTAGAACACAACCCTGTAAGAAGAGAGCACTTAAGAACAGTATTGCTCTTATGCTTCATTTTTTTGGCCTCAGGGAAGCTGATGTTAGGAGGGAATGAATTGGGGCAAATGGTATGGTCAACCTAAGCTTTATGCCTAATCAAAGTGGGAAATGAAAAACAGAGATGAAGAGCACATGCATGTCTACTTCTCAGTTAGAATTCGAGACTTGAGACTTTAAACTCCTAAAGAGGACAATCAAGATTCAGAAATCAAACCACCTTCCAAAATCTTTGGTACAAGAAAACCAGAGCTGTTTTCTATGAACTTCACATCTTTTGTTACTTAAATTGTATTTTAATTGTTGAAGATGTAAGGTCATCTCTTTAACTCTTAATACTGGAGAAGATGATGCAGAGACTGGAATCTTTGGAAAACCGCCTTGGATACAACTAATCCCCAGGAGTAATACAACACTTTTCTGCAACATTCAAACATTTCGATGCATTGTCTTGAGAATGTGACCTGCTTACAAGACTTCACAGTTAATCAACTATCCCAGAGATCAAGCTATTTGACAAAAATATGTATACTCCTTAAAGTGCTTTTAGTTATTAAAAATTAGCAGGTTTAGGCAACAGCAATGATAAAAGGACTGCATTAACTGCAGCTACTGTAATCCATCTGAAATGTGCTTAAATATATGTAATGTAATATGTGAAATCAATATTGGTACACCTGACAATAAGGAGAAACTCATGACTAATGTATTCCATCCACACAGGAACCACCAGAATATGTTGGTAGGATAAGTAAAGGCATGTGATTAAATAATGCTGAGGATACTGATCATTTCTTGAAAGTTTTGGGTAATTAGAATAGTCATTTAACATGCTTAAAAACTGCTTTGTTGATCTAGTAAATGGTTCAGAAACCCCACCTTTCCCAACACTTTGAAGAAGCCTTACAACCCCAAATGGGTAATATAAATTCCTCCTCACCATGGTGCTACAATTTTTATCTATATAGATTTGTCCTGAACTTAGTTTACAGCTTAAGCTTCTATTGAAATGTTTCATAGTTTTTGCTCTTAAATGTGGGTTTCCATTGATAGTGAGAATTTCTGAACTATTTTTCATATTGCTATATACAAATAAATATTTTTTTTATATCTACCTGGTGTACTGAGTTGTAACTTATCTAAAAATGCCTGCTTGCTAATTTCTATGAAATTGCCAGTAAAAGTGACAGTATTTAATTATATAAACAGTCTTTAAATCCCCTTTTCTTTCTGTCCTACAAGTGCCCTATTAGCACTTGATCTCACGTCATCAGTTATCCAATTTGGACTGGAATCAAAGATTCCAGTTAAGAACATCACTGGAAATCCACACTCTCCCAAATCAGAACATGGGAAACTAAAGGAATAGTGTGATTACAAAGAGACCAATCTGTCCTGCAGTCTGACCATCTTAAGAGTATTTGTAGCAAACTGTACCCAACTTCTTGCACAGAAAGAAACTCACTGTATCCAGAGCTGAAAGGGACTATCCTCATGAAGCATCATCCAATTTGTACCAAACAAAATATTCAGTTTAACAAATCTAAGCCTATCTTGAGTGGCAGCACATTTTTCTCAAATTACCGTTTCAAAATGTAGTTTTTAAATAAAACTCGGCACCTCTTAATCCTACATTAGGATAACTGTTTAATAAAGATGCCTATAAAAAGCTACCTTTTGACATTTTAATTTTTCTGATATGTAATGTGGCCTTTTTACAACCCTCCTAAGCAAACTCCTACTTCAGATATTGGGCATAAAAGAATTAACCAGAGAAGAGCAGATATTAACATCAAATCCAAACCACAAAGTTTCTTTCCACTGGTTTTATTTATAACAATTTGGGAAAAGGTGACTTTACTTCTCGCCCTGCTGCTCTGGCATACTTCTGATGATGTCGGAGTCACCTATGAAGAATAAAAGCAAAATTAGGTAAACTGTGACCCAGTGTTTATCCAACTGTTATCTGCTATTATGCACAATAAGTTAAAATCTCTAGCAAAAAAAAGCATTCTAAGGTTTTCAAAAAGTGTACTTTAAAAAATCATGGTTGTATTTTGAAAGAATCATGAAAACAAAAGGACTACATAAAATTTAAAGGATTTTTTTAACATGCAGTGTCCTGTAGTACCTTTTTAAAAGTAAATTACTAAATTATGGTATGCAAATCCACAGCAGTTTATTGCTAAATATATAACTATCGAATATGTCTAGCAAGACTGCACATCTAAATGTAACCAGCAGTACTGAAAACAGAAAAGACACCAAGCCAGTTCTGTGGACACTCTGAAGGTGTTTATATAGCGAATGTCTAGCCCTGATCTGATCACAGACAGACCAAACAGGCGAGAATTATTCGCAGAGAATGGCAATTCCTAATCCAAGTGCAGGTACTGATGAGCTGAAAAATTGCTGAACAATGCTCATATACTAAATTATTAATTTCATACTTTTAGCCTGTTAAGAGGTTTTGCCAGATTTATATTGGTTTAATCCTTTCTGAATGGCATTTCCATTAGTTGAGAAAGCCTCAACACCAATGAGAAATTAAATCCTCTTTCCTTCTGCTTTAAATTTGCTGCCATCATAACATCAGAGGCATTGGGAATGACAAAACACCTGGTTTAAGAAAATCCAATACCGTTATGGCTAAAATTCTAATCAAAATGACAATATAGCCCAGAATTTCTAAATTGCTGCACTGATGGGTGTTGAGCCTACGATAATAGTGCTCTCAAATTATGAAACAGATCTTGTTGGGAAGATTTAAAAAATGAATGCTTTCAAACTTCAGTTATGATTATACGTTCTTTGAACAGTCTTATAGCACATTTAATACCCTTGATGCATTTCAGCACATTCTAAATAAATGAAGTATATACTTCAATAGCTAAAGTATTGCTGCTAGCTAAAAACCTCAGCATTCCCACACAGGCCTCACGAGATAGAAAACATGAACTCACCAGGGTCGATGATAGCCAGTGTGCATACTCTGTAGTATTTACCACAGGCTGTGCCAAGTTCAATGTTGTTTCCACTGTAATGATGGACGCCAGTCTTGGCCAACATGGCATAGTACTCAATCTCTGATTTCCTGCAGGGACACAACATTAACATTAAACAACAAGCAAGATTCATGGTAAGAACAAAGCAACTGTAAAAAAAACAGCACCCTGGGTTCAGTTTTGGCTTTTAAATCTTAGAATAGTGACGTAGAATGGCATTCAATTAAATTACCAAGACTCAAGCTCTGTGAAGCCACACCAAAAACACTGCAAAAACCTTAAGATCAAGCTTCCTTAAATAACCTCATTAAAGCATTCCAACTTCTGAAGCAACACTATGAGCAGTAATTGAAGTACTAAGAAGATCAACAGGGCAATTCTTTGCTCTACACGTCTTATTTTTGCCTTTGTGTGCAAGAAACACACTGACGTGGCCAGCTGTCTGTATCTAGAGCACATCTAGCCTCTACCACCATAACTGGTCAGTACTTTCTAGTACAACACCTCTCCCTTTTCTACCTGCTGGAACTTGAGCCCAGCAAGAAAAAAATAATGAGAAGGCTCCACAAGACACAGTTAAATATTAACTGTTAAGAATAAATAAGAACCCCCCCCCATCATCAACTTCAGTTTGACCAGCATTAAAACACAGGAATGGAAACGGACTCCACAGGTCTCAGGCATGTGACAGTTTTCATACTACTACCACTGTTCCTGTTCATGCATTCATGCCCTTTTTATATATGTGTCAATGTTAAAACATGACTACAACTAATGACAGTAATGTTGAAAACTACCTACTGCTAATGATCTATATTTGCCTTTCTTACCTGCATTTAACTTTGCTCTATAAATTCAATACCAATGAAAAAGCCAAACCGAAGCCAGATTCCTGGGTTAAATCGAAGTGACTGAGGAAGACTGACAGCCTTCAATCACTACTAGATTTTACCTGAGGGCGGGGCAGTTGTTGGCTAGGATGACCAGCTTGGCTTTGCCCTGGCGGATCATCTTCAGAGTCTGTTTGTACCCCAGCACATATTTACCGCTCTTCATCACCAGCTGGAGCCGGGAGTTGATGGACTCCAGAGACTTTTTCTGTGAGCAGGAAAATGATACATAACGTTCATGAAATCCTCAGGAAATGCAGCAAAGGGACATAAAGGCCGTGAGTGAGAGGAAGCCCATCTGCCCCCTGGGTCTATTTCTCTATAGCAGGGGTGTCCAGTGTTTACACTGTGCAGATCATTACTTAAATACTTACCCAACTCATCACTGGCTTAACTGCACCAGGTTAGATTATCCCAGTTCTTAGGGTGCTGGTCTTTAACAGGGACCTTGAACACCCACAAGGACCAGGACTGGACCTTATACTCTACAGAGTCAGAGGGCTTCTGGTTTTTCCTCCACCTGTGCTCTTAAGCTACCTAACTGAACTCGTCACTGGCCTAAGTGGACAAGATGAAGTTCTTCAAGTAGGGAGGTGCATCGGCTGCAAAGGAACAAGTAAAGGTTTATTCCCTGCTGAAAAGAGAAGGAACAACGTTTCAGCTGTGGAGCCTTCTTTGGGTGCCGGAAGACCCTTCCCATCTGAAGAAGGCTCCACAGCCGAAACGTTGCGTTTCTTTTCTTCTCTCTTCAGCACGGAATAAACCCTTATTTGTTCCTAAGCTGGATATTACTCTAGAGACCACTGAAAGCTGCTGGCCAGCAGCCCCTGAGGTGTCTCGCCCAGCTCCTCGCCAGTACCAGCTGTACTGGGAATGAAGCCCGCTGGAAACCCGCTCTGGGAAGAGGGACACGTTGGTGTGCCCAACCAGCCATCTCCCGAGTGTCCCCGAGAGGTGAGGGAACCAGGGCCTCCGGCAAACACAGGAAGAACATGTACTCTACTGACACTCTCGGACAGCTGAGCTCCGAATCGAACCCAGGGCACGGAACACTGAGGCCCCAGTGCTCAATGTGCTCCTTAAACCTGACCGCAAGGCATTCCGCGATGATTCAGTAAAAGTACGATGCATTCCGCCAACAAATGACCTAGGTATTTAAACTTCACGCTACCTCACACTTCACATGAACAGAATATTAGCACGTCCTTTTTTTCTGGGAATCACTCCTACACTCATAAATATCAAGTACCTTTTGACAAACGTAATTGAGAGATATTACAACAAATCCTTATTAAAGACGTGTAAATAGTAACAACCCATCGGATATCGATTATCCAAAATACGAGCTGGTCACGACATATAACCACACTTATATTTTATTATGTGACAATCTCTATCTTTCCATTAAAAGAACAGGTCCAGAACAAGCAGAAGCAATCCCCTTTACTGAATGTGTGCCTGCAGTCCCAAGGCAGTGTCGGGCACCACCGCAGCTCCGATAGCGAGCAGGCGTGCTCTTCCACAGATACGCCATTAATTGCAAAACATTATGTACTTTCAGTGTTTCAAGCCTTATTAACTCCCCTCGTCATTTCACACTATGTGTTCCACAGTGAAAAAAATAAATTTTAACAGAAAGGACAAACTCCCCAATACGTGGCCTAAAGACATCGGCTCCACGTGAAGCGCCAGACATCCCCACCGGCTGCAGCTCTCAAACTCACCGTTTTCTTGGCGGCCACCATTTTCGCGGTTCAGTGCGTTCTGGCCACCCTAAACACAAAACACAAGAGGTAAGAAACTCGTTTTCGCTAAAACGCGGCATCAACCCCTCGGCGGGCTCGAAAATCCATCATAAATTAATAACAAAATCCGGAGCGCAACTTACCGAACTTGCACGTCAAAAATGGCCGCAGAGAGAAAGGAAAGATTTCCCAGCATGCCCAGCCCTTCTGCAGGCTCGCGCCAGCCTCGCGAGAGGGCGAGTCCGAAAGCAGGAAATGGCTCGAGCCACGAGACGTTCCCGACAGGAACTGGGCATCTGATTGGCCAGCATGTCGTAAGTCTCAAAGACGTCAGAGAACGCTTCTTATCCCAAATCCTAACGGAGGCTCAGGGACGCTCTCTGATGTGCATCTGAATTTTACTTTTAACGAAAATTACATAGTCTCTTCGGTTAATGTTGAGGAACAAGTCAAGACGTATTCGATGCTGAGAAGTGAAGAAAAGAAAAAACAGGTTTCGGCGGTGAACAGATTGTTCGTTTAGATTGATGTTTGAGAGTTAATCAGCGAATAGATCCGTGCGTGGAAACGTGCTGTGTATCTGCCGATATTATCAGAGCCAAATACTTGTACAGAAGTGTTCCCAAGTGATTAAGGGAAAAATGCATTCCCTTGTGTATAATTACCTTCTGGAATACAAATGTCTTGAATTAAAAAGCAAAGTAATGCACACTTGTAATGAGGACCTTATGTGTCTATTGTATTACCATAGGCTGAAATGACTTTATGTGTTTAATGACTGGAGACGATGGCAGTTAAGAGCATGTTGATCACCTCACAGATCTCTCTGAGAGTCCTCGGATACGTTATTTACATTCATGCCCTAGTGGAGTAGTCATCTTGAGCAAGGTTTCCCAGTCCCGAGGTGCAGACACATTTTCTGCGATCTTCAAAGCTGCATTCTTCATGTCACTCGACAGTGCTTTCACACCAGTTTTACAGCTTCTCCCAGCTCTGCATGTGCTGCTGTTCCCCACATTTCAGAGACGTATAATAATTGCATTTAGGTAGTGCTTTACATATGAGGGGGCACCCTCTGTATCCAGCACTCCAGTGAAGTAGATGGAATACTTCCTGGGTTGAACAAATCAGACAGGTTGATAGGATGTTCACAGCTCTTTCTTTTCATGGTAGGGGCCTAATAAACCACAAACACATGACCAATAAAGACCTCTGTCAGAAGTATCCATACATTCTACCCCTTCAAACTAAAGAGTTTCAGTACTTTTGAAATTGGTTCAATTGGCCCAAATGATTACAACTGGATTCCTTCCATCCATTTTTGGCTTTTTCCAAGTCCGGGTCACAGGAGAGACAGCCTGTACAGGACACCAGTCCACCACAGGGCACACACAGACACAAACACACTCACAAAAGGGCCCGTTTTTCCCAAAAGCCAGTTAACCCACCAGTATGTCTTTGGACATCTGGACTGTGGGAAGAACCCATGCAGACAGGAAGAGAACATACAGACTCCACGCAGACAGTACTCCAGGCAGAGAATTGAACCCAGCACCCAAACACTGCAAGGCAGCATGACAACAACTGTGACACAGTGCCACCCAAGAACTGGACTGACCTTATCAAAAATAAAAATAAAAACTTTTGAGTGAATCTTATCTGTCAGGATTTTCCCGGTATAGACCACACTGTTCCAATACTGTTGGGGGCACTCTTATACAGTATATCCTTTCATTTAGCGGGATACTTGTAAGCAGGTCCTATACTACAGTCCACCAGATGGCGTTATACCGTTTTTCAGGCTAGTACACTAAAAAGTGATGATACTCTATTGGGTTGTTGCTCAATAGATTTGTTTTGCATTTGCGTTATGTGAGGTATTAAAAATAAACTGAATAGTGCACTAAAATGCACTGAAATTCTAACTCTTTATTTTCATTAAACAAAAACGTGAGGGTTTTTCAGGTTTTCCTCAATGTGTTCTCAATTTTTTAATTTTAATTTAAGTTCAGTAGGTAGTTACACGTATTTCTTGCTGACTTTGTCGGAATTCTGACCAATACACTCCGAACGGTATTGTCTTTACAGCTTCCCTTGTCTCAGAGAACTCGATTTTGATGTTAAACAGGCTGACAGAAACTGCCTCATGAAAGAGATTTGATATTAAATAGCACGTTATTACGTGACTTGGAAAATGGCTGCTTTCAGAACATGACGAAATATAAGAACACGTACACTGATTTTATTCTGCGTTACAATTGCCAGGAACTAAGGTGGATATGCACAGTACACAGCTCTAACTATATATCCAAAAATATGTTGTTTTCTTTCCTGTCGATTCTGCTGTTTTCCTTGAAGTTGCATTTAAATAAATAAGAAGCCAATTCAAACAGGAAAAAAAATGAAGGAGCCAGATGTTGTTCAGAACAAGACAGGATATTAATAATAACATCACTTTATTAACCCTTTACAAGGTCTTGCATTAGGAATCTGTCTTTTCACATACTGCAACTTGTGTGTCCATGAGACACACAGACAGGGAGAGAGCAGGGTCAACCATTGTACAGCACCCCTGGAGCAGTTGGGGTTAAGGGCCTTGCTCAGGGGCCCAACAGAGTAGGATTCCTCTGCCAGCTGCAGGATTTGAACCAGCAAGCTTCCAGCCACAGGTGCAGATCCTTATCCACAGAGCCACCACATTATAACAAAGTCTTGTATTTATGTGTAGTGTTCCTACCGGCCAGCTCTCACCAAGAAAACAATGTCTGAGCTTTATGGCAATAAAATAGCACCTGTGAACTCTAGGCTGTTCCAAAATTCAGAAAAACTGTTGCAACAAATTTGACATTAATCATATATTTTAACAACAGACACAAGATCACAAGCAGTTAGCCAAAATGAAATAGATGTCATGTATTGCACAGAGGAAATGAAAAAGAATGCCATTTCTAGTGGAACACCACAGCTGGTTTCTCAGAAAATCTGCGGAAATAAATGAGTCCTATAATGTTTGATTTATGTAACAGACTGGGATTTAATAACAACAGTCAGGTTATTTGGGATAACCTAGAAAATAATGAAACCTGTGTCTGCCTGCCTGTATGATATATACTGAAGGGAACGAAAGCAATCATTGTTTTATTTTTACAGCTTAAAAAACATGTTCTATTTTGTTTCCCTTCTTCCATCATGTTCCCCCTCGCTCTCTCTTGCTCTCTGCCATGACGTGCAAAGGGATCTGTTTTCTGCCCATTGCTGCAGTGCACTAATTGTACTGGACAGATGGATCTGACTGCTGGGCTTTAAAGTCTCCTGCTTGTTTGCACTCTTGGTTCACTTCTGTGATCGAAAATGACAGCCTTTGTGCAAAGACAATGAGAGGTATTTGGATGCTAAAAAACTCGGAGCGCCTAGCGTTTCCACACCCAGGTTACTGTCATGTCTGGTTAACATCTGTGCGCTGAGTGCTGCCTCCCGTGAATCCACTCAACAGCCTTTTCGACAGAGCAAATTCCCTGGAAAGGTGCATCTGTCATAAAAAATAACATAGTTGTGGAGCACAAGCTGAAGAGAAATGCCAGCTGTGCATTTATTCTGTGAGAAGTAGGTTTACCTGTTAAGGACCTGATGTGTTTTTCATTCCTTCCTACCACGGAGTTCCTGGAGACCTAGCTTGCTCACTTTGTGAGTTTTTCAGCACAACTCTCAATGCCTGACTCTCCTTAAGTCAGGCATTGAAGACCTGTCCCTCTTCCGTTTGAGAGAGGAGTATTGAGGTGTCCTTGTTGAAGGGGGGGTCCCCTTTGCAGATGGAGCTTGCAGAGCAGCTAAAGGCTTCCCTCACACAGTAGGACAGTATGTGCTTGTACACACCTAGAGGTATAACTATATGGTGTGAGAACTGGAACTGAGGAATCACCCCTGGGACAATGGTAACTCATGGGAAAAGGGTGTCAACCTTGCGATTCAAACGACTTTTATACTAAAATGTATGGAGGCTCCTTACAAACTGACACCTGTCAAAACTGTTTGTTTTTCGGTCTGCTTGCACCCTTTGTTGAGTTTCATTTCAGCAGAGTGAAGGCTCGTTAATGAATGAGGGTCGATGACAGTCAACAGCAGGTCCTTGAAAATGTCCGCTTGGTGTGAACTGGAGCTGCCTGAGGGACTTGAGGCCTAACGTCTGCTAGGGGTTTGATGGCAACACGACAATCATTTGACACACCAGAGCCCCTCTGCAATCCAAGTGGTGAATGAAGATTGAGCTTTGCATATTATGAAATAAACCATAAGGGACCAATGTTACACTTGCAGCAAATGCAGGGAAAGCAAAAGGCAAGTGGAATTTAGGATCAAGAGGAAGCTCTTTGTTATTTTTAGTTCTATTGACCCCCCCATGGTTGTCAGTCAATTAGACTCATCGCAGGAATCGCGCATGTCTAATCTAATCTAATAATAATAATAATAATAATAATAATAATAATAATTGCTTACACTTATATAGCGCTTTTC